CTTGGAGTCTCAGAGCGGCTTACAAACTCCTTTCCCTTCCCCTCCCCACAACAGACACCCTGTGAGGTGGGTGGGGCTGAGAGAACTCTGACACAAACTGCTCTTTTTCAAGGACAGCTGTGCCAGAGCTTGTGACTGACCCAAGGTTACATCAGCAGGTGCAAGTGGAGGAGTGGGGAATCAAACCCGGTTCTCCCAGATTAGAGTCCACGCTCCTAACCACTACACCAAACTGGTGAAGAGACTGGTGTCTTGTTTTGAGTCTCAAAATAACCCCCCACCTGAATAATTATTGTTAAAAACATTAGAGCAGAGTCCAATGGCACCTTTAAGACCAACAGAGTTTTATTTGAGGCATGAGCTTTTGTGTGCACGCACATTTCGTCAGACGGTGAAATGGAATTCCATATCATAGCTGTATATACAGGGGTACACTCCACCAAAGTTCACTGTGGGAAAAAACGATTCTCTTACAGTTACAGTCCACAAACATTGCTTCTTCTATTCCTTTATTTTACTTCATGCGATGCTGCTGCTGCTTCCAAACAATGACGGATTTCCCAGGTAGGTATTCCGTTTCCCCCAATGCTTCATCAGGTCGCTTTTTTATACATGGAGCTGTTTTACAAATAAATTATAATCTGGTTACAACTCATATTCATTCATTCTTTTTCAAGTGTGAGCAATCAAGGACATGCTTACCCCAATACTCTTCGCCGCCTACTCAGAATTAATCTTGTGCTTCCCTTCGGCATCTGCTGGCTCTCATTCTTCACCGTCTCCGCAGCCACTCTGTTATCCACCGTGCCTTGATTGCTTGTTAAATAAGCATGCAAAATAGCTGATCCGTTTTAAAAAAAAAACTTCGCTATTTTGCATGCTAATTTAACAAGCCACCCCATATATACAACTAGGATATGTAATTCCATTTCATCACCTGACGAAGTGCGCGTGCACACGGACGTTCACACCTTGAATAAAACTTTGTTGGTTTTAAAAGGTGCCCCTGGACTCTTAACTTTGTTCTATTGCTTCAGACCAACGCGGCTGCCCACCTTGTTAAAAACATTGTTATGCCACCTCTCCACCTGAGCGGGGTCCCTAAAGCAGCAAACATTAAAACATTTGAACAATTAGAAACATCATGTAAAATTATAAAACAATTCAATAAAAACACATGAACATACAGCACCAGAATCAAGGAGGAATGTTATTGGGGGTATGCCAGACCCCCCCCCCAAAAAAAAGTCTTTATGCCCTGGCAGAAGACACCATAGAGGGAGACAGACAAATATCCCTGGGAAGGGACTTCCAAAGTTTTGGTGCCAGGCCACCCGTCTAGCCAGAGAGAGCAGGGGTAACTAAACCAGGCCCCCCGAAGATGACCAGAGTGAACGGGTAGGTTCGTATGAGAGAATGCAGTCCTTACGCTATGTTGGTCCCAGGCCATATGGGGCGTTAAAGGTCAACACCAACAACCTAACACTGAGTCCAGAAGGAAATTGGAAGCCAGAGTAGAAGTAACAAAACTGGAGTGATAACGTCCTTACAACGTACTCCAATCAACTCTGGCTGCAGCATTCTGTACCAACGGTAGCCTCCAGACAACTTTCATGGCTAGCACAATGTAGAAGTTTAATCTAGCTGTCACCAGGGCATGCACCGCACTGGCAAGGTCTCTGCTGCCTAGGAAGGCTTGCAGCTGGCTCACCATTGTTGCTCAGTTAGGGAGACAGAAGTTTATCATTGACCCAATTTTCTTCCCTAAAGTAGAACAATCCTGCTTCACCCAAGATCAATGCTGTGGTCTTTAACTCGTGACTTAGGACCTTCAGATGACTCACAAGCTTCTTTAGAGCTGCCATTTTGAACAATCCACTGTATAGTGACTGAGGATGCCCTGACTCTGGCCTACCTTTGCATTTATGCTGAAAAGAGCAGCAGGACAGTGAAGCAAGGTCCCCCTGTGTTCACCGCTCAGTGGCAGAAAGTTATTTATGGCCAACTCTTCCTCATTACGGTACACTCTCTGGTGCTCTGGTTGGGTTTCCTGTGTTCAGCTCCGTTGGCCTGTTGCCTATAGGCCTGGCCTCGACATTGGTGACGTTGTAACTTCCCCCCCTTCCCATCATATGACACCCTGTAATATGCCTGCAGCTCAGTAGGCCCCATGTTCAGAAGGCCCTAGATCAGGAAAGGTTGAAAACAGCTCTGTTAGTTCTGGTATCGTTAAAGGAAGAGTCAGTGTGGATAAAAAGCTATACTTCAGCCAGGGAGATCTGGGTTTCTGGAACAGATTTGTGTGACTACCTTCACAGTGGGGAGCGGCTGAGTTCGGAGATGATGCAAACATGATTAAAGAGCTCCTGCAAGATCTCCCTAAACTAAGTGAATAGGTAAGCATACGGCAAGAGAGATTCAGCAGAACTAGAAAGGGATGTGTGTTGCAGTAAACACATATCACCAACTTGACATTATCTACCAGTGGCTTCTGAACTCATGGCAGTGCGTACCCAAGAAAATGATCGTGGGGTTGGGGTAGTTAAGGAACATTCCAGGTTAGGGGTTATAAGGAATGGGGCTGATTGTAAAACAGAAAGCATAATTCTTCTAATTAGATGAAGAGGAGATTGGATTTATACCCTGCCCTTCACTACCTGAAGGTGTCTCAGAGCGGCTTACAAACTCCTTTCCCTTCCCCTCCCCACAACAGACACCCTGTGAGGTGGGTGGGGCTGAGAGAACTCTGACACAAACTGCTCTTTTTCAAGAACAGCTCTTATCAGAGCTACGGCTTGCCCAAGGTCATCCAGCCAGGTGCAAGTGGAGGAGTGGGGAATCAAACCCGGTTCTCCCAGATTAGAGTCCACGCACTTAACCACTACACCAAACTGACTCTCCTTTGGAATACTGTATACAGTATGGTGCAGCTCCTTTGGAATACTGTATACAGTTCTGGTCCTCCTAGGTAGAACGGCACAGGGCTAGAAAAGGGTAACTTTTTCTGCACTGGTGGAGCATCTTCCCTACAATGGAAGGATTAGCTAGCTAGGAGGCTTACCAGAAGTATGCATAGTGTGAAGAAACTGTACCCTCACATGGAGGTCACCCAGTGATCCTGACAGAACACAGATTTACATCAGGCAATATAGGTCGCAGCACATCGACTTGGCATTTTCTGGCACGAGATACAGTAATCGCTATTGGATCACATGGGTTTCAAAGGGCATTTAAAATATATCCCCAATGTAAGGGATAAGGGAATCTCCATGTTGAGGGAATGTACCCCTGAATCCCAGTTGCTGGGCAGGGGGGAATCAGCAGACAGGGATGTCACCTTGTTTGAGGCCTTTTCAATAGTGGTCAGGTAGACCAAAAATCAAGCATCCTGTTCCAAGACGCCTCTGATACAAGCCTAAGAGGAGCCGCCCTGCTGTAATACAGCCAAGTAACTCGCTCAGACTTTACTTTTCTTTAGTGGAACTTGAACGTGGAACTCCCTCACAAAATACTTTTGATCGTTTTGGTGAATACGGCTGTCCAAGGTAAACGATGTGACGGAAGGGTGTCTTCCGAGGGGGATGCATTTCACACAAGATCCGACTTGCAGGTTCCACACAGAGAATCATCGTCATCATACAGGAATGTAGACTAGTTGTTATACAAATATATTTGTATCACATAGTGGAGGTGATCTCCTTCTGTGTTCAGAAGATCCTCCCTCACAAAGTGGCTTAAGGGTTATAGGGAAACATCATTTCAGCACTATTTATTTAAAACGTTTGCATCTTTCCACCCAACAGAGAATATTAACAACTTTATGGGTTCAAACAGTTAAGCAAGTGGTTACAGCTGATGCACCATGGTCAGCTTTGGCACATGGTTGTCCATGCTCTTCCTGAAGACTGCTGCATCCGGAGCAGCACGTGTAGTTGAAGGTGAGGTAGAAGTCACTATTAATTAAGCAGATTCATGTTAAAGGATCTGATCCTCGAGTGCGAAAGTATCCTGGATGCTCACAAAGCACAAGCTCAGCCACTTGGCTTAGATATCACAGACATGCACAAACAGCGTGGCTTTCAAACTGTTAGAGAGAAAGCAAAAGGCAGAGCTAAGGCTGAATCTTAGGTATAAAATGCACTGCATGTTTAAACTAAAGACAGTTCCCAGAGACCTAGAGCGTGCTGCTTATTGGGGGAATCAATATAAAGCGTGTTGCTTATTGGGGGAATTGGGGGAATCAATATAAAGAGATTGGAAACATTCCTACTGTCTCCCCCCCAACCCCCCCCCCCCATTTTGCAGTACAGACCAAGCACACAGATACATACTGGCATTTATTGAACTCTTATACAATCAGCTTTGTACTGCAGTGACAAGATTCATATCATACAAGTGTATTGTTTCAACTGGCTGATTTGCAATAGGCAGGGAAAAAAATAAATACTTTTTCTGAATTTCATTATGCACTTAACACTTTGTAAAAAGTTACAGATTATCAGGCTTCAATTGTCTGCTATTGTGGGGGGAGGGAGGGAATGTGGGTTTTTAAAGACAGGCGAACACATATGCGACAAGATCCTCTATACCATAATTTCTGAATAAGTTATACATAGTGTACAGTAGCCAGTGGTTAAAGTTTGAGAGCCTATTACCTGCTTAAGAATCAAATCTAGGTTTTGACACACACATATCTATTAGTGGCCAGACAAAGATAAGATGCCAAGTCTTATTTTAACCATCTACACACAGAAGCTTATGGTTTTCCAGCAGAAAAGACTCAGCATTTTTATTCAGCCCTTACTGCCCTTGCACCTTATTAGCACCACAAGTGCACAAGGACTGCTGCAGAATGCGCTTCATGCTTAGTACTTACTGGCTCATGTCTCGCGCATCTGCTCCATTAAGTACAATGATACTTTTTTTAACCCTATGGTCAGATGCTGGCAATTTGGTATATAGTGATTTTACAATCTTCAAAGTTTCAGCAAAATCTGGATACAAAAACACAGGGAAGAAAAGGAACTTTTCACCTGTAGCCACTACATTATTCATTGCAATGTACATTGGAAAAAAATAAACAGCACAAAAACCACAACCCACACACACACATACATACAGATAGCAGTAACCTGAAGGCAATGGAAAAAACAAAACAAGAGACTTAACTGCAGTTGTGCAATGTGACGGCACACATGTGCATAGATGCATGCATCAGTGCAAATGCATGCATTGGAGGTCCTCTTTCTGCAAGCCAAGTTTTATACAGTACGGTTTTCACTGCTAATTTAAACCAGACTAGTCTTGGAGTTAATTCATTTATACAAGGACGTTTGGCAGCTCAGATCCTAGCAACATGCAGCTATTGCACTTTGGATTGTTCAGAAATCAGATCGGTATGTTACAGTACACAGATTTCATCTTAAAACTGGTTTGTCTTCTCGTGTAGTCAGAACTGATCAATCATTACCACTGACCAAGCATCTTAGCGTGATTCGACAATCCAGCAATGACTCTTTAATGTACTACTGTGGACCACGTGTTATTGCTTCATCAGGAGACAGGAACAGGCAAGGCAATTAGTAGCTTGGTTTCATGGAAAGAACTGAATGTGCGCCTCAAGGAGCGTTCTGTTTAGCGGGGAGACCCGCTACAAACTCTCCGTGCTTTCTGCCAGTCTTGGGTTCACAGAGCCAGTGCGACATCTACATAGACCTATAGAACTGAAGTGGCTAACAGTGGGACAAATGCAGCTTTTCAGCTCCGGTACCTCCTTCTTCAGACGTTCTTGCTGCTCAGTCTGGAATATATTTGGCTGTTCAGGCATCCAGTCATAAATCCTAAAACAGATCGACACACAAATAAAAGGTCTTTAAATGCCAAGCCATCCTACAAGCAAAATGCTATCTGTGGTAATACAAAGTATAGGTTGACTTTTAACAAAATTCTTAATAATGCCGGCACAATTTCATCTTGACTTAGATGGATGCAAGGGGCATACATCAACCTTAACATGAAAAGGAAAAAAAAAATACAGCATCCAGCATGACATCAAATCAGAGCTCAAGGCAGCCATGACAACATATTCTGAACTACTGGTGTTTGTGTATATATATCCTGGACCACAAGGCAGCAAAGTCACTAAGTTTCAAATATCGGGATGCATGCATTAACATAAGCAATGCACCCTCTAAGCTGGGGAGTCCTGTGTGCAAAAATTCTACTTTGTGAGCTACTGGCAGTACACTTCTGATCGAGCGGTTTGGCTACTGCATAACTGAGCTTGCCCAGGAGCCATCCTTCCTGAGCTAAGACAAAAATCTGTGAGCTGTAGGCTAAGAAACTGTGAGCTAGCTCACACTAACTCAGCTTAGAGGGAACACTGACCGTAACATACAGGTATTTATCATTTCTATGCCAAGCTATAAAACAATTGCAACCCCTAGAGGTAAGTCCCACAAATAATGCAAACTGTACTTTGGCTTGGATTCTGCCTAAAATTCACAAGGACAGAATGGATTTCTCTTACTGTGACACCCCCCTGGCCCAACATGTTGTTCCTGGGTGCCCCCTTCCAGAATAGCTTAGGGAAAGGAGGTAGTTTGAAGTTTGCTGTGTGGGGGGTAATTGCAGACCCCCCCCCCTTTTCCATCTGTGGTGGGATCCAAGCCTTGGCTTCCAAATCAAAGCATTGCAAATATTAAAAGGGGGCAAAACAAAGGAGGAGGAATAAGGAAACACTGGTATCCAATGTTCCCTCTAAGCTGTGGAGTCTCATGAGCAAAAATTCTACTTTGTGAGCTACTGGCATTAAAGTTGTGAGCAAGCAATTTGGCTCCTGCACAAATTAGTTTACTCTGGAGCCCTCCTTCCTGAGCTGGGACAAAAAATGTGTGAGCCAGAGGCTAAAAAACTGTGAGCTAGCTCACTCTAACTCAGCTTAGAGGGAACACTGCTGGTATCCCACTTCAGACTGATTAGAGTACTTAAGAAACGTATTATGGGGAGCAAGTACAAACCTGTTCCATCATTTGGAAGTGGAAGATCTGGTGGATGTCTAGAGGAAAAGGAATCCACGTGTCAGGGACTACACTTGAATGTAGTAAAGCCTTTGATGGATCTGTCCACACCTTTAGCAGAACTTCTGATCCCTTCAACACAGTGACTCTTTCATTCATATGCACACTGTGGGAACGGATTAAGCTAGAACTGATAACTGTCTGCCAAATACCACTAGGGCCCTGCAGGCCTTAATGCAATGCTGCAGGGACTGTAAGGCAGAGATGTTCCGCCAGGCCTTTGGTGGAGGACAGCAACAGTCCCATCATCGCCGGCTCCCTTTTCCTTTCCTCCATCTTTTCGCTTTGGCCCCCTCCTTGCCCTATCTGCAAAACGGCAACGTAGTCCGGAGTGAGTCAAGAAGAAATATTGACGCCATCTGAGATTCAGTAATTGCTATATGGATTTTATTGATTTTAACACTGTTTTTAACTGCTGTCCATTGCTCAGAGCCTTGTGCTTGCGGGGATTGGGCAGTTCACAAATCCAGTATATAAATAAATAAATATTGCGAACGTTAAGGATAGTGTCAACTTTGTGGAAACGTGAAAGAAACCTCAACGTTAATCTTTAGGCATTCAGGGACTGATCCCAGGCTGGGTACATATCGAAGCAGAGATTTGTCGTATGTACGCCAAGCAGTGTTCCCTCTAAGCTGAGTTAGTGTGAGCTAGCTCACAGTTTTTTAGCCTCCGGCTCACACATTTTTGTATTAGCTCAGGAGAGGTGGCTCCAGAGCAAACTGATTTATGCAGGAGCCAAATCGCTCGCTCACAACTTTAATGCCAGTAGCTCACAAAGTAGGATTTTTGCTCACAAGACTCCACAGCTTAGAGGGAACTGACGCCAAGTGCTTACGGGGCTGCATTCCTTTCCTCACCTGTCTCACAATGTGGGAAGTGTTACAGATTCCTTATTTTCTCCAGATCCTTCCAGCACCTACAAATTTCAGTATTGTTTGATGGTCTGTCTAGGCCATCCTGTAATTCTTCCATGACCATAAGCCCGTGGGCATATTTGGGGTAATGCAAAGCTTCCCGCCTTCCGTTACTCAAGATCCCTCCAACGGAATAATGCGGTCAGCTCATTATGGGAAAATAATCCAGAACGTCTCTCAATACCACAGTACAAATTGCAAACAGCTTTTATTCTATGCATACACAAATCAGCTAATAGCGAATCTGAAAAGGTGAAAAATCCACAACACAAAAAGAGAAGCATGTAAGACTTTATACACCTCCCATCTGGAAATGGATCATCTTTACCACAGCAGACCCTGAATGAAGCCGGCTTTCTGGCCCGTATTTCAAGGGGTTCCTCCGAAGTATGAAGTTCTCTTCTGGCCCAACTCCCCCTCCCCCAGAGTTAAAACTCTTTGCCAAAAGAGGATTGAATACACCTTTTTGTTAAGATTCTAAGGTGTTTTGCAAATGATTCTTTTTTGGTGCAGAGTGCAGTGAGTGACCAAAGTATAGAGGGAAAGTACTGGGGTCTCTGATTAGGGAACTCTTCCACTAATTCCATCTGTCATTGGACAGCTGACAAGTAATCTCAGTGCAATGGGGTATGTGGTTCAACTGAAAACTCAACCAAAGACAGGCCTGTTTCTTCCTAGAACACAGGGAACTTGTTCTTAATAGCAAAGACAGCTTTTAGGGTTGTTTTTTTTTAATTTTAGTAAACACTGTCAAGAACAAAGACTCTGCAGAGGGAGTATGATAACAGATGTTTCCAGTTCATTCTAGCACATAACCTTCCTTTTAAACGTTTAATGTGTGCCCACTTATGTAAGAATTCCCTTCAATATGTTCCATTCAATAAGGAAAAACTGGTCTGAACCTCTGCAACTGTACACTGTTGTAGCCATATGTTATTTTGACCTATATCCACTTTGAGTATTTTAAACAAAAAAACAAGTATACAGAAGAGTTAATAAATAGCATCCTATACAAAGATTTCTCAAAAAGACAGGCGGCAAAAGAGGGACTCGGCTCCATCACGTGACAGATGTATCTCGACTGAGAACTGGGATTATCTCCAATGCCAACATACAAGGCAGGGAGGAACCCCAACCGAAACCAAAGCAACACTCTGAGAATCAACATTTTTAGCTGCAGGATTTACTTTTCCCTGAGAATGTCCTAGTTAGCCAGTTATGACATGAATTAAATACATTCCATCTTTTATGAGATATGGAAAGCACTAGCGACAAGGGGAGGGGGACAAAAAAAGGCACGAAGACTTCATTCTTCCCTGTCTCTTTCTCTGCAGCAATGACTCAGACAATTCTGAAGTGGTTTAATACAACAATCAATCCTCCTGCGCTCTCACTCAAAAGGAAATGTGCGTGAGTCATACAGCACCAGTGGCTAAGAGACTCAAGTGACAAATCAGGAAGGGCTGCATGCCGCGGATTCACTTAGCCTTAGGCAGCCACTCTAATAGCATCAGGGCACTGCCAGCCCCATCCACAAACAGGGAAATACTAACCTACTTGGGAGCCTTGTAAAGATTACAAACAAGATAATCAATGCGAAGGGCTAAATAAATGCCACTGTAGTCTTCTCATACGACCAGGCATCCCACTCAGAGAGCTTCCTGCTTAGATGTTATCAGATTTTCTAAGGAAGTCCTTCATTACTGTACACAGCAGAATTCCTGGGAAAGTTTATTCCACTCCCAACTTTAAGACCAGATCTGACAAACACGTTCCTGAAGCCAACAATGACTCAACACTGATCAATTTAAGGTTTTTAAACGAAACAATCTGAAAATACGGAATGGAGCACCAGCCGGTCTCATCCCGTCCAAACAAAAGTTTTAAGATATACCACGCAGCTACCACTTACTCCCAGATGGAGGGGTGTGTGTCTTTATTTCAGGGATAGCCCCCCCCCCGACCTCTATTTTCATACTCCGTTGAGCTCCCCTCCCCATAAAGAGCAAGGAATATTCAGTCCCTCTGTTATTCAACTATTACCAGAGCCATTAACAATACTAAGCACAGATTTTCAAGGGATTTAAAATTAGGCAAATCTGGAGGAAAAGTCTTTGGAAGGGTAATTATTTTATTAGTCCAAGTCCCAGATCTGTCCCTGATGTACTACAAACTAAACTCTTCTGGCAAGTTTTCAGATCACAATGTAAAAAAGGTAAATTGGAAGCCATGAAGATTTCCAAGGATGTAACTGGGAGCGATATATCCATAGGACCCTTAGATGACAGCTGATTAACTGCAAGTACCTGGACTTCCTGAACCCTAAAGGAATAAAAGACAGGAAACATAAATCTACTAACTAGAACTAGAAAGCTAGCAGGTTCTTTGTCTGCTGGGGGGCAGCTTAAAAAAAATCATACCAAATTCCCTTTCTATTCTTAACATATTTTGAACACTAAAACTCTGACAACCGAAAATCTCCATACTGTTCCAGCTGTAAGGCTTCAAGATCCCTCCGCCAAACAAGTCAATGACGCACAGGCTTACAACTGCATCTGTGAACCGGACACTCACGTTCTATTACCCTTCCTTAACCTCTCCCATTCCGTTACATTAACCAGGCTACCTGCAGGAGTCAAAGATAGCATTTACTGGAGTTAGTCCTACAGTTCAATAACCTATCTCAGTTTTTCAAACAGAACATCCAGATTTACAGTTGTGGGGGGACTACAGTATGGACAAAGCTCAATTGTTTAGTCCCAAACTAGCCACAAAGAACATAAAATAATAACAGGTATTTCTGGACAACTAGCCTAAATATTGGGCTCAATAGAGCTAATTTTT